AACTACAGTTAAACTACAGTTAACTACAGTTTCCTTGCAAATAAACTGGTAGTTTTTTTGTAATACTGCAGTCGAATCTGCAGTTTTGACTACGGTCATCTCTCGTTTTTAAAAATAGCAGTTAAAACTGGAGTTGCGAAGTATCTTTTAACTACAGTTTTAAAATTTATTTTTAAAACTTTATTCCTTGTTCTTCGGGAACTCTCTCCCACCCACCCAACCCCCTTCTCCTTCGTTACTCAACGACTTTTGATGATGAAAGTTGAAGGCGGTGATGGTATTCGAACGACGGTCCTCCGGGTCGTGGAGCGGAGGACTTGACCACTACGCTGGCAGGCGGGCGTGTCCGGAGACGTGCACGACCCGGACCACATGACAAGACCCCCTCTCGTGACCCACTGATCGGGCACTGCAGTTCAACTACAGTTTTAATGCATAACCATAGATAATGTGCACTTGGCTATCACAATTTCTACGCAAACTCACGTTTTATACCGTAAGCCTCACAATTTTGTTAGCGGATAATTTTTATAAACGATAGGGCCAAAAGAATCCGTATTAGAACCGCTGCCGTTGCTTTATCTTAACGAATTCCGTGCAACTGACTGAACACCAATATTCTGGTTATTCAAACACACAAAAGGAACTAAATTTGGAGAATTTGGTGAAATTATTTGGAATTGGGACAAAATAGAACACTGATTTGGCTGAACTGTGAAGTTGCTTACACAACTGCAAAAAAGGGCAACCAAAATTGTAGTCAAACAACAATTTAATTACACTCCCGAAGTGTGCTTGCTTTTTGCAAACGGAAGTACAATTTAAGTTCCGACTACACTGGAGTTAAAACTGTATTTAAGAACTGCACGTGAGACTGCAATTTAACTGTACCTGTACTGCTGTTGAAAATGCCCTCTATACTACGTTTCGATCTACAGAGTTAAACTACATTTAAAGTACTTTTAAAACTGGCGTTTCTGAACTGCAGTTTATGACTGTAGTCTGCACTCAGTCAAAACTGCACTCCCTTCCACCCGGGACCTGGAAAAAGTTTCAGAATTTGAACTGCGAATTCAAACGAGCCACAGGCTTGCCAACTAAGCGCCATCGCAAAACATGCGCTCTTTCGAACGGCTGCAGTCCTCACCTATCGCAGTTCAAATTCCGAAATTTGGCACGGTGGTAGGCCTTAGGGTAGAGAACACCTGGAAAAAGTTTCAGAATTTGAACTGCGAATTGGAACGAGGCACAGGCTTGCCAACTTAGCGCCATCGCTAAAATGTGCTCTTTTCGAACGTCTGCAGTTCCTCACCTATCGCAGTCAAATTCTGAAATTGGCACGGTGGTAGGCCTTAGGGTAGAGAACGCCTGGAAAAAGTTTCAGAATTTGAACTGCGAATTCGAACGAGCCGCAGGCCTGCCAACTTAGCACCATTGCTAAAAATGCGTTCTTTTCCAACCTGTGCAGTTCCCTTCCTATCGCAGTTCAAATTCTGAAATTTGGCACGGTGGTAGGCCTTAGGGTAGAGAACGCCTGGAAAAAGTTTCAGAATTTGAACTGCGAATTCGAACGAGCCGCAGGCTTGCCAACTTAGCGCCATCGCTAAAATGTGCTCTTTTCGAACGTCTGCAGTTCCTCACCTATCGCAGTTCAAATTCTGAAATTTGGCACGGTGGTAGGCCTTAGGGTAGAGAACGCCTGGAAAAAGTTTCAGAATTTGAACTGCGAATTCGAACGAGCCACAGGCCTGCCAACTTAGCACCATTGCTAAAAATGCGTTCTTTTCCAACCTGTGCAGTTCCCTTCCTATCGCAGTTCAAATTCTGAAATTTGGCACGGTGGTAGGCCTTAGGGTAGAGAACACCTGGAAAAAGTTTCAGAATTTGAACTGCGAATTCGAACGAGCCGCAGGCCTGCCAACTTAGCACCATTGCTAAAAATGCGTTCTTTTCCAACCTGTGCAGTTCCCTTCCAAACGCAGTTCAAATTCTGAAATTTGGCACGGTGGTAGGCCTAAGGGAAGAAAACACCTGGAAAAAGTTTCAGAATTTGAACTGCGAATTCGAACGAGCCGCAGGCTTGCCAACTTAGCGCCATCGCTAAAATGTGCTCTTTTCGAACGTCTGCAGTTCCTCACCTATCGCAGTTCAAATTCTGAAATTTGGCACGGTGGTAGGCCTTAGGGTACAGAACGCCTGGAAAAAGTTTCAGAATTTGAACTGCGAATTCGAACGAGCCACAGGCCTGCCAACTTAGCACCTTTGCTAAAAATGCGTTTTTTTCCAACCTGTGCAGTTCCCTTCCTATCGCAGTTCAAATTCTGAAATTTGGCACGGTGGTAGGCCTTAGGGTAGAGAACACCTGCATTTTTAGCAATGGTGCTAAGTTGGCAGGCCTGTGGCTCGTTCGAATTTGCAGTTCAAATTCTGAAACTTTTTCCAGGCGTTCTCTACCCTAAGGCCTACCACCGTGCCAAATTTCAGAATTTGAACTGCGATAGGTGAGGAACTGCAGACGTTCGAAAAGAGCACATTTTAGCGATGGCGCTAAGTTGGCAAGCCTGCGGCTCGTTCGAATTCGCAGTTCAAATTCTGAAACTTTTTCCAGGCGTTCTCTACCCTAAGGCGTTTTTGCGTTTTTTTCCAACCTGTGCAGTTCCCTTCCTATCGCAGTTCAAATTCTGAAATTTGGCACGGTGGTAGGCCTTAGGGTAGAGAACACCTGCATTTTTAGCAATGGTGCTAAGTTGGCAGGCCTGTGGCTCCTTCGAATTTGCAGTTCAAATTCTGAAACTTTTTCCAGGCGTTCTCTACCCTAAGGCCTACCACCGTGCCAAATTTCAGAATTTGAACTGCGATAGGTGAGGAACTGCAGACGTTCGAAAAGAGCACATTTTAGCGATGGCGCTAAGTTGGCAAGCCTGCGGCTCGTTCGAATTCGCAGTTCAAATTCTGAAACTTTTTCCAGGCGTTCTCTACCCTAAGGCCTACCACCGTGCCAAATTTCAGAATTTGAACTGCGATAGGTGAGGAACTGCAGACGTTCGAAAAGAGCACATTTTAGCGATGGCGCTAAGTTGGCAAGCCTGCGGCTCGTTCGAATTCGCAGTTCAAATTCTGAAACTTTTTCCAGGTGTTCTCTACCCTTAGGCCTACCACCGTGCCAAATTTCAGAATTTGAACTGCGATAGGTGAGGAACTGCAGACGTTCGAAAAGAGCACATTTTAGCGATGGCGCTAAGTTGGCAAGCCTGTGCCTCGTTCGAATTCGCAGTTCAAATTCTGAAATTTAGCACGGTGGTAGGCCTTAGGGTAGAGAACGCCTGGAAAAGGTTTCAGATAGTGTTCTAAAGGGTAGGAATATTCCCGGGAATTTAGGGAATTCCCGGGAACGTTCCCGGGCACAATCAAACCCCAAAAACCGGAAATTCCCGGGAATTTAAAAAATGGCTAAAAACAGCTGGTTTTTTGCAGGAAAAATGTAGAACACGCAAGTTATCAGGTAAAAATTATAAAACACATGAGTGTATTTCCATTTTTCTTTCAGAAGGGAACCAAACAAAACGTTTTGTAATCAAAAATTAGTTTTCTATGAAAAAATTTCGTATTAAAAAAATTAACTTTTATCAAAAGTGATGGGTTTTATATGAAGCAATGTTCCCGGCCAAGTGGGAATATTCCCGGGAATTCCCGAGAAGTCTCGGGAATATTCCCCTGAATGATTGTTCCCGGGAATTTTCGAACAGAATTTGAACTGCGAATTCGAACGAGCCGCAGCCCTGCCAACTTAGCACCATTGCTAAAAATGCGTTCTTTTGTAACATGTGCAGTTCCCTTCCTATCGCAGTTCAAATTCTGAAATTTGGCACGGTGGTAGGCCTTAGGGTACAGAACACCTGGAAAAAGTTTCAGAATTTGAACTGCGAATTCGAACGAGGCACAGGCTTGCCAACTAAGCGCCATCGCTAAAATGTGCTCTTTTCGAACGTCTGCAGTTCCTCACCTATCGCAGTTCAAATTCTGAAATTTGGCACGGTGGTAGGCCTTAGGGTAGAAAACGCCTGGAAAAAGTTTCAGAATTTGAACTGCGAATTCGAACGAGCCACAGGCCTGCCAACTTAGCACCATTGCTAAAAATGCGTTCTTTTCCAACCTTTGCAGTTCCCTTCCTATCGCAGTTCAAATTCTGAAATTTGGCACGGTGGTAGGTCTTAGGGTAGAGAACACCTGGAAAAAGTTTCAGAATTTGAACTGCGAATTCGAACGAGGCACAGGCTTGCCAACTTAACGCCATCGCTAAAATGTGCTCTTTTCGAACGTCTGCAGTTCCTCACCTATCGCAGTTCAAATTCTGAAATTTGGCACGGTGGTAGGCCTTAGGGTAGAGAACGCCTGGAAAAAGTTTTAGAATTTGAACTGCGAATTCGAACGAGCCACAGGCCTGCCAACTAGGCACCATTGCCAAAAATGCGTTCTTTTCCAACCTGTGCAGTTCCCTTCCTATCGCAGTTCAAATTCTGAAATTTGCCACGGTGGTAGGCCTTAGGGTAGAGAACACCTGGAAATTTTTTTTAGAATTTGAACTGCGAATTCGAACGAGCCGCAGGCTTGCCAACTTAGCGCCATCGCTAAAACGTGCTCTTTTCGAACGTCTGCAGTTCCTCACCTATCGCAGTTCAAATTCTGAAATTTAGGACGGTGGTAGGCCTTAGGGTAGAGAACGCCTGGAAAAGGTTTCAGAATTTGAACTGCGAATTCGAACGAGCCGCAGCCCTGCCAACTTAGCACCATTGCTAAAAATGCGTTCTTTTCTAACCTGTGCAGTTCCCTTCCTATCGCAGTTCAAATTCTGAAATTTGCCACGGTGGTAGGCCTTAGGGTAGAGAACACCCGGAAATTTTTTTTTAGAATTTGAACTGCGAATTCGAACGAGCCGCAGGCTTGCCAACGTAGCGCCATCGCTAAAATGTGCTCTTTTCGAACGTCTGCAGTTCCTCACCTATCGGGGTAGTTTTGAGAAGGGCTACAAAATTAAACGGCTCCAAGCCCAATTTTTTAAAATGACTGATATCGTTAAGGGTCTGGGCGCAAGCTTCTTTGAAATGGTTGCGTGGACAGTTTGGGAATCATTCATCCGATGACAAGTTTGATGTTCCGATACGTTTTCAAGATAAGAATAGAAATTTCTGAATAAAGTAAAATAACACATGCAGGATGTATTGTACAAAATAATAATAAACAAACTTCTTTGGATAAAAATATTGCTTCTGAGGTGCTGATGGCACCATGCCATGCATACTCACTTTTGAGAACTTCCGCATAAAGTTTTCCATTTCCTCTATCTTTTCTTTAGTGAAAGCTCGGAGAGCTGTCTCATTGTCAAATCCTAGATGCTTGAGGAGTGCCACAATGGATGAAGGTAATGTAATCTTTGTTTTCAGCGATACATTTTCCCAGAATAAAGCCTGAAACAGACAGAAAGCATAAAATATTAAACTAGAATAAAAAAAGAATAGGAAAAATGAACACAGATCAAGTGGCTACACTGCAAATCCAACGGCAATACTTGTAGTACCTTTTTTGGCGATACAATTGAGTATCGCCAATAAACGGCCTTACGTAAAAGTATTGCCTTCAAAACGGCGATACACAAAAGTATCGCCAAAATTTGGCGATACTTCGGAGTATTGCCAAGATTTGGCATTAAACGTTGAACAAATCAAGGGGACAAGTCGTTAGTTTAATGCCGTGGTTTTGGCGATACCCAAAAGTATCGCCAAATTTTGGCGATACGTCTGTGTATCGCCGTTCTGAAGGCAATACTTTTCCGTAATGCCGTTTGTTGGCGATACTGAATTGTATCGCCAAAAAAAGTTCTTGAGTATCGCCTTTGCATTTGCAGTGTATTGCATCTGCATCACTATGACATGGCCAGTGCAAATACCCCATGCTCAGCAATATTGCATGGCCAGCGCAGATACTCCGAGCTCTGACTGTAAATACCCCTTGCTCCCTGTGCCTAGGCCTGCTGTAGCTGGACGGCTGGACCTGGACTAAACTTCGTCTGTTAAGCAATGCCTAGTGCACGTAACCGAAAGTTCAAACTAAGGACCTAGTCCTAGATGTGTCCCTGTTAGTTAAGAATATCTAAGTCCAGCATCCGTGTTCAAAATACGCTAAAATTCAACAAAAGACTTTTTAAACCTAAAGTGCTGTGCCCATAACCTCAAACTGACTCGACCAAAACAAGAAGTTAAATCCAAACTACTAATGATTTAAAAAAGTAAAAAAAGGACAGGAGAGGATGATGATGAATCAAGACGTGGTTGTTTCACTCTTACAATGAAAACGACGTTTACCTCATTCTTAGCCTCATCAGAGACATTGGGGGCCCGGCTCTCCGTTCCTTGGCCGCCTTGGCTGCTCCCGTCGTTGTTGGCCGACGACGCCATGTCAGCTATTTCTTAACATAAAATATACAGGAGATAATTTGAGCTGCATCGGTGCTACACAACTATTCCTAATCACAACGCATAGTCACAAATTCACACCTTGGATCTGCGTCTAGGAAGGCACTAACGCCAGTCGGAGAAGCAACAAACAAACAGCAACAATACGCCCTCTGACGTCACAGTAGAGCCAACTTATTTTGGTCGCGATTTTACAGGTAAAATGCGTATTTCAGTATTGGCTTTGATACACGATTCGCTTTATACAAAAAAAAAACGAAGCATTCATCACTCATGGTAAATAAATAAGTTAAGCTGCACTGCAAGTGGGATCGACAAGGAGGGGAAGAGGAGCGGTGGAGGGGGGGGGGGAGAGGAAGAGGAGGGGGGGCAGGTAAGGCTCACCAGAATTGGTTGGGTTCGCACTTTCTTGTTTTGTGAAAGTGATTATGTGATTATATTCGTTAATATGTAATTTTCGAGACGATTACGTATGATCATTATGAATATATTGAATATTATGGATTATTATGATGATTACGTATGATTATAGTGAATATATCGATTATGTTTGAATATTTGAATATCATTGAATATCACCGAATATGGTTGAATACGTTTGAATACTTTGAATATTCTACTGATTATTGTTGATTACCAGAAACTGGGGCGGATCCAGCAATATTGGGAAGGGGGTGGGGAGTCACTCTTAAAATGGGTCCCAGAAACTCTTATCTGACAAAATTCGAAACCAGAAAACGACCGGCGACAGAAGCCAGGCGGCCGGTCGGCCCGGGCGGGAAACAAAACTTGTCCCCTTTGACTGCGATTTTCTCAAAACGCGGAACAGAGCGGAACAAACGGCGAAAAGGGCCGTAAAGAAGAGATGCTGCTCTTTCACCTCCATCGGACAGATCGGTTCGCAAACTTTCGCAACTCAACTTATCGCCTCGCAAAAATCACAAATTCGTCGATTTTGAAAACATTTTGACAGCGTGGTTTTTTAAACCCCGGGTTTTGAACCATTAAAAAACCTATGATATTGTGCTGATTTGTGAGGTTTTTAGCTTTCCAAAAACATACAACAAGTAGCAGTTATGTGGAATAAACCGACCCTCAGAGGGTAAATTGTTGACAATTGTAGAATGTGTGAAGAAATAGTTCAAAATGTGTCATTTTTGGGCGCCCTGCACAGGCTCACGCGTGTGATATTTTTTCAAACGGACTCTTCTCACGGATAGGGGTTTTTTATATGGACATGCCACAGTTGTTTTGACCCTGCTGTTCAATTTTCAAACTGACCTTTATTATCACTTTTTTCGATTCTCAGCCCACCGTTGGGGGGCCCGGGGGGGGCCCAAAGTTTCCCCCCCCCCCCCTTTTTCTTTTCCCCCCGGGGGGGGCCCCCGGGGGGGTTTTTTTGGGGGGCAAAAAAAAGGGGGGAAAAGGGGGGTTTGGGGGGGAAAAAAAAAAGGGGTTTTTTTTTTTAAAAAGGGGGCCCTTTAAAATTAAACCTTTCCCCTTTTTCGGGGGTTTTTTAAAAAAAAATTTGGGGGGGGGGGGAAAAAACCCCCCCAAAATTTTTTCCCCCTTTTTGGGGGGGGGAAACCCCCCGGGAAAATTTTTTGGGGGGGGGGGCCCCCCCCCCCCAAAAAAGGGGTTTTGGGGGGGGGCCCCCCCTTTTTTTTTTTTTTCCCTTTTTAAAAAAAAGGGGGGGGGGGGAGGGGGAAAAAATTTTTTTAAAAAAAATTTTTTTGGCCCTTTTTTTGGGGGAAAAATTTTTAAAAAAAAAAAGAAAAGGGGTTAAAAGGGGGGGTTTGGGGGGGGGGGCCCGGGGGCCCCCCCCCGGGGGGGAAACCCGGGAAAAACCCCCCAAAAAAAAAAAAACCCCAACCCTTTTTTGGGAAAATTTTTTTTTTTTTTTTGGGGGGAAAAAAAACCCCCCCGGGGGGGTTTTTCGGGGGGCCCCGGGGAAAAGGGGTTTTTGGGGGGGGCCCCTTTTTTCCTTAAAATTTAAACCCCAAATTTTCCGGGGGAAAGGGGGGCCCCCCCCCCAAATTTTAAGCAAGGGGGGGGGGTTGGGGAAAAAATTTTCCCTTTTTAA